ATGTGTGCAGGTACAGGTATTCCTGAGGCATAGAGCGAGTTTTCTGCTGTTCAGTTTTCATCGGAGTTATCGAGGTAGCTGCATGGCGTTCGCAGACCCGTTTTCTCCCTTATCTTCTGTTATTTATGATATCTTCAGACTTTGTTCCTAATTCCATACTTTGTAGAATTTTAGTAAACTCTGTAGTAGCTCATGACTTGTGACACCCCAGTTAGGGCTGAGTTGGGTTGGATTTCCGTATTTTATCTATACTTTCCGCTATTGGATATTATTAAACCATGTTTATACTATAATTGTGTTAATTAATTGTCTTAAAAGGATGAATTGGGTTGAATGGCTGGCCTTGTCTTCATGAGAGGCGTCATCACGACCAGGTTCGGGAATTGGGTCGTGACATAATACAACTTCCTCTGCAACATGTGCTGGTATATTCCATTTATTTCTGTCCGGTAGCGGGTACACAGGCACATCATATGTCATTACAACAGAATTTGGTTTGTAATAGCTAGAGCAATAATCTTCTGGTATTAGAAACTTGCTCTTCAATACAGCCCAAGCATGTGGGCATGGTAATTCATCAACTTGGAACCTCCCGCAAACGCATTTTTTCTCTAACATGCAGACAGTGTAATTCCTCCTTTCATCAGTAACCGTATGTAAGTATTCAGTCGATGGTACCACCTACATTTAAACATAGACCTATAAGTTTTGAGCACATATAAAAAACTTTCATTTATATACCATAGAATAGACGTATTAAATATATAACAGTATGAATTAAATCAAATATTTATTGAATACAAACATATTTCTGTATGTATAATGCAGAATTATTTCAGTTAAATAATGCATCATATATGTAAATGCAAAATTATTCAGTTAAATAAATGAATTTCTATATGTGTAATGCAAAATTATTCAGTTAAATACAACTGAAATGTCAAAATATAGAAGAATACATCATATATGTAGACCGGCAGACTATAAACTATAATTACGTCTTAGCTTATGAATACACTGTTATACATCTAACATCTACTTAACTTTAGGCAGCTGAAAAGAAACAAAAACATTATAAGGCTACTGCATGATAATACAAATGAATACATCTATCTAAAAAAAGGTATAAATTATTTCAGAAAATATTTAGCTATCTAAAGAAAGAGCTAAATATATGATACAATGACATTAAAATAAAACTTACAGTCATGCGTGTAGACATTGCCTCATTCAAATTTAGCATCTCTTAGTATATTTTTTCCAAGCGTTATGTATGTCTGTGTCGCTTCTTTGTGGTTACTGCAATTCCAACGTCCAAACATCTTCCTAACTTCTTCGAGGAAGTCGTATATTGTCAGTTCCCTTGCTGACACTAGTGCAGCATTGATTGACTCAGTAATATTTGACGTCATGGTCCATCCGCTGTTAATAGGTGCATACAACCTAGCCCATTTTTCGTATCCAGCTAACTCCAAGTATTCTTTCACCCTAATATCTACCTTCTCCACCTTCTCCATTAGACTGTCAAATTCAGCTTGTATGTATGCTTTTGCCATCGAGAAGTATATCTCGCTCAACTTTGCATGGCTCTTTTTGAATTTCATATATACGCTGTTCCACAGATGCCATATACAGGAAAAATGCGGTACATCTGGATACACTCTCGATACAGATTTTAAGATACTCTCATTTCTATCTGAAACGATGCACATGTTTTCCCTGTCACCGTATGCTATCTTGAATTGCTCAAAGAACCACGTCCAAGCAGCATCGTTCTTAGAATCAATAACACTATATGCTAGTGGAAATATATGACCTGTAAAGACAATTACATACATATTTTTAAAATATGTATTTCAATCTTTACAATATTAACAAAATTTATTATAATTCACGTACTCACCTGCACCATCCAACGTGCTGGCCGAGACGAATGTCCCGATATAGTAAGATTTTAGGTGACTTCCGTCCACAACCACAATGGGTCTACAATGATTAAACCCCTTTATAAAGGCATACAAAGATATATACACATACATGAATTCATTTTTGGGCAATTTTACCATTCTAATGTGCGAACCTGGATATGTCATATCCTTTGTATATAAGTATCCTAGTAATTTTTTGTATGAATCAGTCGGTTCACCTCTCAAAAAATTCATTGCCTTTTCTTTAGCCCACCACGCCAACATGTAGCTAACATCTACACCTAAATATGATTTTACATCATCAATAATATCCTTTAGGATATATTTCCTCTTGTGATTAGTAAGATTGGGCCTAATCTTACCACCTATATGGCTGCTACTTGCCTGGCGCTGCTCATACACCTTATCCTTCAACAAACATGTATGCTTATCAATGAACTCTCTCACTTTGAATAGTTATAATTTGTTAATGCTCAAAGCCTTACACCTCCATTCACAATCTTCTGACATACATAATAATGCATAGCTAAAAAGAATATATCATTATACAAATGATTAGCATAAATGCTTACAAAAAAATCATACAAATACACATGAATACAAATACGCCTATAGTTATTTGTGCAAATAATACAACTGAATACTTCTATAGTTATATGCATACATTTATATACAACTAGTAAACCAAAGAGGAAATCAATGAGAGCCACTGTAATAAGTTTATACAAGTAAAATACACAAGAATGCATGTATTTGAAGACCATAAAAAAATAGTTAACAACATCAGTGAAGATCAATTGTCTTACAAATATGCATAAACACATCAACATATAACTTACAACTCCAACCATGAATACAATATACAACAAAAACAAAGAATAATAAAATAGACTCAAACCTGACAGAATTAGACCTATCAACCCGGAATTGAAACCTTTGAGATATAGCATAATGCTCTATCACCTCTTTTAATGTAGCCTTATCCTTATATACTTGTCCAGCCATAACCTCCCTTTGATTAGTTTTTGAAATTTTCAAATCCTTATCTAGTTCGAACACCCCAATTGCTTGTCCTAAATTGACAAAATCTAGAGCAAGTGTATCATCTGTATCGGACTCATACCTTTGAACTGCTTCGTCTATTTGCACAATATCGCCTTGAAAACTACCTCCGGATACAAGTTCTTTTTCAATCGTTGTTATGCACAAAGGATACATACCGAATTCTCTGTTCTCTTTTTTCAACTCTACATACACACTGTAACCCATATCATTGTGTATTTCCATTGGCGTGTAATTTCCTTCTACTTTGTATTGAATTTTAATGGACTTTGAGCTCAAATCTATGCCCAGTTGATTAGATATTGACGCAACCAAATCCTTATACGACGCATACGCCTTTATCAGTATTCCCTCAATTGAATAATCGACGTAATTGCTCTCACTGTTCCACTTGCCAGAATGCTGCAACAACACTGTTAAACTTTCCATATGTACGTAATTGTATCAATCACAATTTTTCATTGTTGAAAAGAGAACTGGGTACGCACCAGAACTACAGAAGAAAAGGGAGAACTTAAAATCAAGATGTTGCTCTACTTTAGGTTATTTTTTCCGATTGAAAAACTTTCGTGAAGGGAGGAATACAGATTTATGGGCAACAGTTTGTGTTAGTTGAGTTATATTAGGAGAATATTAGGTAAATTGATTTCCTTTCCGTTTTAAACCAGTTGAAAGGTCCATATTTTACGCAAAATACGTTACTATATTTTGGAATACACCTCGTAAATACAGTTGAATACATCTGAATATTAGCTGAACTTCCCTGATTTACGCCTATTTTTGCTTTTGTATTCATGAATACATTAGCTTAAATACATCGAATACATCTTATAACCACATAAAAGGTATCTATAAACAGTAATATAGCAGATGGTATCTATAGATGGCTAATTACTACTAAAAGATAGTACTTTATGAAAATTTCTCAAAACAAAACTATACATATATACGATCAGTGGGTCGTGAGGCGGGAGTTTTACTTAATATGGGGTGAGGCGTACGCCGCAAGACATGGAGCGTAAGCCCCACAGATCTTTAAAAATTTAATTTATAAATTAATAATATAGCATAATAACACAAAAAATATCAAAAATACATTAAAAGTTCAAGAAAATTAAAAAAAAAATAAAGAAACTCATACAAAATAAAATATCAAGCATGTTTTTATTAGTATAAACAATGAAATTGTGTTAAAGTTACTATGAAATATAAATCTACTATAACGTCTAAATCTTCAAATAAATAAAAATTATAATTCCTTAAAAGTATTATCAAACATAACTATACATTTTACCTCCCTAAAATTAGTGACTTAATAAATTTTGTTAATATTGTATTTAAAATATTACTCCTTAATGAGTAAATATAAAAGTGCTTTTAAATAGCAGCATAATAAAAGTCTATTAATCTTAAGAAACATAGAACTAAGCTATGATGATCTAGTAAGTAAAGATATAAATTTGTTATCTATTTTCAAAAGAAATGTACAAATGATATTTACCCACACGATGTTCTCTATTAGTAATATGCAATATTATGGTTCGTTATTTGAGTTATTTATAATCTTCATATTCCTATAGATGAATAAAACTTTAATTGTTCATTCGTTAAAGAATTTTAAGAGTCAACAATGCTAATTAGTGAATTCAACACATGATTTGCATAGGAACTGTTGGGCGAGCCCCGAACGTAGAGCGTTAGGCATGTTTAGGGCGCACGGTCGGACGATTAATTGGGACGTAAGCTTCACAAAACAAAGCCCCACACATGAGCTTCAAGGCATTTTGGTAGTGCCCCATCCCGGTGCTAGCCCCGAACCGAGTCCTAGAGAAGCCTTTTAAAACACTGTATAAACCGAAAATTGCAGCAACTCCCTTATTGAGAATAAAACCAATTGGGCAGTCCTCCAGTTCACCTTTATATAACTTAAAATAAATAGCATTATATCTTCTACTTACTTTCTACACATATTCAACAAAAGGTCATTCTCCCAAAAAGGAAAAAGAAATGGCTTGCATTGCTCCTTCAGAGTCAATGAATAATTGCGAGGCTGATCAGACACTCACTAAAAATGTCCAACCAGTTATCAACTTTTCTTCCATATTGGAGGATGAAGAAACTGATCAATACACTGATAATTTGCATGAGAATTCTTATATTCTTGGGATCAAAGAGTATATAGCGAATAGGAATCTTCACTTATCTAAAGTCATTTCCAGAGAGAAAAGAGCAGCTGTTTTGATATGCCTCTTTGAAGGCCTTGAAGGTGAACTACGTGTAATTCTCACCAAAAGATCCATGAAACTTTCTACTCATCCAGGTAATATCTCTAATTTCTTTTTTTGCCCATGTGTATCTGCATTGAAATACGATTAAATTCGAATTTACGTGGAGAAGTCTCACATTGGGGTAAAGTACCCCAAACAAATACGACTCCATATGCAGGGCTCGAACCAAAAACTTCTCGTTAAGGCTAAAAGAATATTTTCTACTCCACCACAACCAGCGTTTGTTCTCCAACTTTTGTTTTCCCGTCAATTTTAACTTTGCACTTTGATAAATTTTTTTGAGTACATTTTTTCTTTTGAACGAAAAGTAGCGCATTTGAATATCAGTCTCGTGTATAGCATATGGCTTCAAATTAACGAATCATTAGGACTTAAGTGGTTAACTAATTAAATCTTGGATTAGTTATTAAAAATTAAGCTAATCTTATTTTCGAATTTGCATAGATGGCCAAGTATGTATCCTTTTACCTTATTTTCTTGGACAGGAAATGTCTACCAAATTCTAATTGTGTAAATTAATTTGTTTACAGATTGAACGTAGACATATTTGTGAAAACGAGCAATTCTATTTTGGATTGAGATTAGATTCCTCGGCAGTGTATACCATTATAGTAGATTATTTGCATTGCTTTCTATGTTAAGATTAGAATTGTTGTAGGTTACATTAATCTTATGATGTAAGCAAATATAAACGGTCAGAGCATAGAAGTTAAACTCTTAAGTTTTAGGAAACGGGAATGCAACACGAGAATATCCAACTTTTTCAGCCACTTTAAAGTTTTACTAAAAACAAACATATGAAGAAATTGACTCTTTATAATCATATGCCGATCCAAAATAATTTTAGTTTATGAGTTCCTAAACCAACCTCAAGGAAATACGATATTAGTAATTAGGTTCACCGCCGAGTATTTATAAATATTTAATGGATTCTGCAATATATATAAGTAAGTTCACGTGAACCTATAACAGACCCTTCAAATCCGCCCATGTTTATAATATAATGTTTATTATGATGAAGGAGAGGTAGCCTTGCCTGGTGGAAAGATGGATGAAGAAGATTTAGATGATTCTGCTACTGCTCTGAGAGAAGCAACAGAGGAGATTGGTTTGCAATCCAGTCTTGTTCAAGTTATTACTAACCTTGAACCATTCATATCGTTGGTATATACAATTTTTTGAAATATATATAATTTAATATCACTTCTTTATTTATATATAAACTAATTTCTACTTTAAGGTAGATAAATAATTGGTTACTGAAAAGCATTCATCATAAGTACAATTTTTATTATTGCAGCATCTACTTACAGTTGTACCAGTAGTGGGGCTATTGTCTAGAGTAGAAGAATTCAAGCCCGCCCTTAATGCCGACGAAGTTGATGCTATTTTTGATGTACCCTTGGATATGTTTCTTAAGGTATTTATTACTTCATGCTCTTTAATTTTTAGAGTTTAAGTTTAATGTACTAATGATATAGTAATATTTTTAGTCAGAATACTAAACTAATTGGCAGTTAAAACTTAAAAGAACATTGAGTTTTTTTTTTTTAATTTTGTATTATGTCAGCGTGAGATAAATTTGAATGGAGAAAAATGGCCAATGATGATTCATTTAACTAATCCTAACTTATTTGAAATTGAGGCGTAATTAATAGTTATTGTTGCTGGTTATTTATAAAATAATTATAAATAAATCTATTTGAAAATCATTGATTGATAATTAACCTAATAAAAAAATAACTAACTTACTATTACTGTTTAATAGTACTCATATAATATTTTCTATATTTAATTTTTTATTTTAATATACAGGAAGATAATCACAGACGTTTGGAAAAGGAGTGGGGAAGATTGAAATATGTATGTCACATATTTGAATATGAGTCGCCTAATAAGCAAGAAATTTTTCATATAGGAGGATTGACAGCAAGCATTTTGATTCATGCTGCATCTGTCATTTATCAAGAGCCTCCTTCTTTTTCTGAATATCTTCCTGATTTTAGTCAATTACAATTTACCCTGAACAAGAAAGGCAGCTGCTAACTTTGGATAGAGACGGATCTAGAGTTTAAGCTCTATATATAGGTTCAAATGAATCCCGATATTCATACGCTACATTTGCCTCTGACTTTGGATACGGTGCACTTGTTTTTTTTTTTTTTTTTTTCCGGTTTTCTTCTGAAATAACTTTTGTAGATCATCAATAAGTCGTTCTATATCCTTCAAAAGTAGTCATCAACAGCAAAGTTGATTATGAACTTAGCTGAAAAAAGAAAGGCTCACATGGTCCGAGGAGAGTTTAGTGAAAAATATTCGCCTCTATGTCTTTGCTATATATTAAACGTAGATTCTTGTCTCATTATATATTTACCATGTTTACACAATGCAAGAAAAAGAAAAAAAAAAGAGTAAATAAAACTACTTAAAGGGTAATTGGAAATTAAAAAATTGTGTAACACCGTGTTTGGATGGTTGTTACGCATCATTTCATAATGTATCGTATCATATTGTATTGTATTGTATCTGTATCGTTTGATAAATACAATGTTTGGATAGATTGTGTCGTTTGTCATCGTTTCATGATATCATACACCAGCAATACGAAGAATAAACTTGCAATATTATAAAGAAAAATTATGATACAGGGTAAAATTACTATATAAAAAGGTAGGGTAAATGATAAAATAAAATAATTTAATAATAATAAATGGTGAGATTGAGAGAAAAAGACAAGGTAACAATGCGACCACACCAAATCGGTCGTTACATAAAGTGGCACATTTTGTCGTTATGTAACGACAGATTTAACGATACGATACAATAAAATTTAAGTAACAATCAAAACAAACATTGTATTTAAAGTAACAATACGATACGATACAATAAAATTTAAGTAACAATCAAAACAAACATTGTATTTAAAGTAACAATACGATACGATACAATAAAATTTAAGTAACAATCAAAACAAACATTGTATTTAAAGTAACAATACGATACGATACAATAAAATTTAAGTAACAATCAAAACAAACATTGTATTTAAAGTAACAATACGATACGATACAATAAAATTTAAGTAACAATCAAAACAAACATTGTATTTAAAGTAACAATACGATACGATACAATAAAATTTAAGTAACAATCAAAACAAACATTGTATTTAAAGTAACAATACGATACGATACAATAAAATTTAAGTAACAATCAAAACAAACATTGTATTTAAAGTAACAATACGATACGATACAATGGATAACAACCATCCAAACAAGCTATAAGTTCAACAATAAAAATTATGGATTTAACTTATATTCACTAAAAGTATTCTATACTCTCAATGTATTTAACCTATAGGTTATAGCAAGTAAGGGCGGCCGGAGGGTAAGGCAGCCAAAGCAAGGGCTTTAGGCCTCCAAATTTTAGGGGCCCCATATTTACTAGTAGCAGATTTATAATTTATTTTTTTAAAAAAAATAAGTAGCTTAAAGTAAAAATATAAATTTTTAATAAAAAGGATAAAAAATTGATTTGCAACTGATATTGATCGTTGAGATTTGAATAAGTGCATAAAAATATCTATTATTTACTATTTAGTAGAAAAAATGAGACCAATAATAAATAAGTATTTGCAAAAATATTATCTTAACCTCGAGAATTCTTTAAAACATAATAGACACTCTGATATGATGGTTTAACTTATTTTTTGAATGAAAAGTGTTAAAAATAATACAAGCAGAAGATAATACTCTAGTTAATATACGCAATCAAATAAAATGACTTGATTATTTTCTAAATGCTTATATTCCTTGTGCTTTAATTTGATTGTTTTGGATGACATGATTTCGAGTGCTAGTTGTTTTGCCTTTTCTTTTTGGGTTAAATAATGAATTACGTAAGACTGCTTCGGCGTATACAAGATATATGAGTTACATAATATTATCTTTCAAATCTTAATCCAAGGAAGGAATGAGTTAAAACTTATCAACATTTTCAGAGTTGGAAAATATCTGGAAAAGAAAATGGGGAACATTTGGAAACGAGGTTTGAAACTACAGTAACCTATTGCTTGAGAAAAAAATGTGTAGAGAGTTCGATTATTATAAAAAAATAAAAATTAAAGAGTACATGTTTAATCTTGTTCAAACAATAATGATGATTTGCCACATTCAACCGAACTTAGCATGTACAACACATATAAATGGAAAGAGGTGTATATTAATAGTTCAAGATGACGGTGCATTCAATAGAAATAAGTGTAAATCAATCAAATTCTTATGCTTGTCATATAAAGAAACGCAATAATATAAATGATGCTCAAGGGCATTAGGGCAACATGTGAATCCAACTAGTTCTCTCTGATATATATATATATNACGAATATCACTTTTCAATTGTGTTTCTAAATTCTAGGATCTACGATAAGATAATTATAGTAATTACACACATAAAAATAGATAATAAAAAATTAAAAAATAAAATCAAAACTCAATATTTTATATTACAAATAAAGGAGAACGGAAATTTAAACTTGAAATAGATAAATATGTGTTAAGCTATATGTTTTAGATTTATGTTTTGTTAATAATAATAATAATAATCTATATATCTTCTATCTATTTATTTTGTTAAATCAAATCAACCCAAAATTATGCAAGCTGTTGAATTGAAAAATAAAATAAACCAAATCTTATTCAAACTATTGAATTGGAAAAGAAAACTCCAAAGACAAAAAAAAAATACCTTGAGATTCTGGTAAGTAGAGGGAAAAAGCTCATTCTCTCTCCTCTCTCTTGCGATCAACTGCACGCTGGCGACTGCCCTTCATGGCCTCCACGGCCGGCGGCCAGCCTCCTCCTGAGGTTGGTCTGTCGTCTCCCTCCCCCTCTCAGCCATTTCCAACCTCTACAAACCCTAATACAAACCCTAATCCACCTAAAACCTTTGCGAATTTATTAAACCCTACTGTCATAAATACGCCCATGCAAACCCTAGCTACGTTACCATTGAAACCAGTTGAGTTCCTTCATGGAGAACCAGTTGTGAAGTGGAAGAAATAAGAAGTGAAGCAATCCATTGTACAACAAGGGCTTCAACTTGCAGTTCTTGGGAAATTTTCATATGGGAAGCCTGTTATTGGTGAATTACGTAAAGTGATTCCAATTCAATGTGAGATTAAGGGTCATTGTTCAGTTGGCTGGATTGAAGATGATTATGTGTTAATTAGGCTATCTTTATTGGAGGATTATGTTCATCTTCTCTCAAATCCAACTTTTTATTTAAAGGCTCATCAGACATGTGGCAGATGCATTGTACAAAATGGAATCCATGGTGGACACTTGATGTAAAGACTCCAATTGCCATAGCGTGGATTAGTTTTCCAGAACTTCTTCCAAATTTCTTTGATAAGGAATTTGTATTTTCATTAGCTCGTGCAGTTGGTAATATTACATGTAGACCTAGCAACTTAAAATGGGACTAGACCTAGTTGTGCTAAGGTAAAGGTGGAAGTGAATTTGCTAGGTAATTTTCCTAAACGAATTAGGATTGTTGAAGAAGCTGATGAATCTGGGACAGAAGAGTTCAAATGGATTAGGATTAAGTATGATTATATGCCTAAATATTGCAAGCCTTGCAAGAAACAAGGGCATAGTGAGGCAGAATGTGGAGTAATTCATCCTGAGTTACGCAAGAGATTTGACGAAGATGTTGAGGATCAAGGCAAGGAGAAGACAGTTGTGGTGAGTACTGAAGCAATTGGTACAGTTGCAAATTCAACAAAGGTTCTGTCAAGTGGAAAGGTGGTTGGTAAGCCTATTACTAATCATGCCAAGCAGGAATGGATACAAGCAAGGAAGAACAAATATCAACGGGGGGTCACATTGTTGATAACAAACAAGGTAAGGAAGCTGACAAAGGTAAAGGGAAGGCCAAACTTGAGGAAGTAGCAACCAAGAACAAGTTTAATGCATTAGAGATTGAGGAAGGTCATCAACCTATTCTACAAATTACTAATGGCAAAGGTGAGGATCATAGCAATGGTAAGGAGAAGGAACATGGGGAAAATCAATCAAAGGAGGGCTCTGAGAAGGAAAAAGAAGACACTACTGGAGCTTCAATCCCTAATCCTACTAATACTAAACCAGCGGGAGGAAGTCATCAACAAGAACTTAAGTGTGTGAAGAAGGAAGCAGAGAAGAAAGTGTTAGAAGATCAGCATAATGGGAACTTATCCAAGGCTAATCCTATTGTTCCTAGTGATCAAAGTACTGACGAAAAGGCTAATAAGGAATCCACAATTGACTGGGTTCATCGAAGGTTTGAAACTATCAAAGAGGAGCTAAGGCAACTAAATATGACTACAAACCAATCATGTCAAAATATGTCGTCTCAAACATTTGCAGATTATGGGAAGCTTGAGAACCTTGATGAGATAAACTCAACAAAGGCTGTAGGGAGTGATTCAATTGAGGTAGAGGATAATCAAATAGGCAAGACCAATACAACAGGAGACAAAGTGAGGGACAACAACCCACCTAGTGAACTAGGCCTAAAGCCAGGCTCCCCAGGCATTAGGCTGGCGACGCCAGGCCTAAACCCAGGCACCCCAGGCGTTAGGCTGGCGACACCAGGCCTGGCGCCAGGGTCACCTGATGAAGCAACGATAGTTAATCCTATCCTTAGTGCAACTGGAAAGATTTTGGCATATGTAAATGGTGTTCCGGTGTATGCATTGGAGAACAAATTTGATGATAAAGTGAAGGTTAGGGATGATACAGTAGGATCAGAGATAACAATGAAAAGAATGATGAGCATGCAATTGTTCCAAGAGCATCTGGGGAAATAAAGGAAGTGCCTATGGAATATGGTACTGATCAAATTATGTAGCTGCAGCTTAATGTTCTACTGAAGACTCCACTACAACATCTACATAATTTAGCTACACACAATGTGACACCAATTGATGAAGACTTAATGAGACAAAATCCTATGGAGGATGAGGGAGATGATGAATCAACAGAAGAAAACTTCAAATAGGTGGCTAGGGATGGGGATCTATCACCTACAGCTAGTGCTAAAAGAGGCAAAAAACAAAGAAGAATCAGAATAAAGAGTCACAACAACCTTTAAGAATTTTGCCAAGGAGGGCAGCTTCTCTATCTAAATGATGATCAAGATATTAATATGGAATATAAGGTCTGTGACTACACAGCAGGCCTTTCCTAGGATGATCAACATGAATAGGGAGCATACCTTTTATGTAGTTGCATTGATGGAACCTTTTGAAAAGAAGATATTCATTGATA